ATTTGCAGAGGTGACCATAAAAAGTGGAGGTAAAAAAGTATGGGTCAACCAAACAGGGCAGGAACAGAAGTAATAGCAAGGAACCACCAACTCCTATTTCACTCCTCTTACCTCCAGAGAAGAAAGAGAATCTGAGAAAGCATGGGATAGTTTCCACCAGCTTTTAGGCTCAGGTTCCATTTCTGTATAACTCTAGAAAACTTTGGTGTGGTGGCAATCTAGGATCCACAAATGAGGAAAACAGTGGAGGAAAAGAAAACTTTCTGATTATAAAAAAGGATGAACAAGTGGGAAAAATGGATACATGAAAAAAGAACAAATAAGATAGAAAAACTCTCTTTCCCCCTTTCTAGTTCCTAATTTGTTAGTGATTCCTCAAATGTTTGAACAGCATGTTATTGCCACATATTGATCAAGAATCTTTAGTTTATTTTGTTTCACAGATGAGGATCTAACCAAAACTGATGAGATCATGGGTTTCCACCTAAGAAATAAACAACTGTTTTAAAATAAATTTCTTCAAATTAACAATTTTACCATTTAGATTAACTCAACATTTTGTTATTTTGTTATAAGTGTTTTTCATAAATGCTAATGAATAATCTACCTTTTATACAGAAAACTGGATAAAAAAAGAGAATTCAGGGAGCCATAAAATTATCAGAATGTTTCAGAGTAAAACTGACCACATATCTTTGATTTTCTAGAAGGTTTATAATTTCGATTATTCTGTCCCAATATAATCATAATTCAGTAGAAAATACTTTCAGACCTGTGATATGACAAAGAAAAGTCATTATAGATGATTTAAGCAGCATCCAAAAAATCCTAAATTCACAAAAGAATTCTTATTCTAAACTTAGTTTTATATTCCATGGAATAAAAATGCCACACTTTCATTTTACCTAAATTATCTCAAGAAAAAAAGACTTATATATAAGAATACTTTATACTCACTTTTTAAAAAAAAATCTAACTGATGAACTATCCCAATTTAGAGTCTTTGCAATATTAATTTTAAAAAATTACCAAACTGGTTAGGATTCTAAAGCATGCAAGCCTTAACTTTTCTTTTTATTTTTTCTTTCTCTCTAAAGCTATTCTTAAAATTGCCTCTGGTATTTTCTAAATGTGCTCAGAAGTCCTAGGGCTCTGGCAGTTTTTTAACTAATAAAATAAACATAGCAATCCAGTACCTGCAGTTCTGCTAACAGTATTGTTTGTATTATAAGCCCCATCCACAAAGGCTACAGAGAAAAATAACCAGTATAAACAAACATTACTTAGATACCAGTGGCATCTTAAAGCAGTACACCCAACTCTCAAAATGCAGAAGGAAGAAATTTTCCACTCCCACGATGCCACGCACAACTCCCTGGTGAAGCACACATCAGGCAAAAGAGAGTGACATTACCTCCGCTACTGTGAGGTTGGGGGGGAGGTGTGGGTGTGAAGCAAATCAGTAATTGTCTCCCTTTACTTTTTTACCATCTTTTCTCCCCTCAATATATAGCTTCTTTTCCAGGATGTCTTTCTCCTTTCTCCATATTTCCCACTTTTAGCCTCTTCCATCCAATTCCAACAGAAAAGATAGCTTTGTCTTTGAATTCTGTTGCTTAACCTCAATCTCTAAATTTCATACAACACACATATGTAAACACTACTGGATAAGATTTTCAATGGAATACAAAAAGGGCAAGGAGGGAGATGAAGTTAAGGCTGGGGAAAAAAATTCTCCACTGGTATTTGCAATGCCCACGCTTCCACCTGAGAGAGAAGTTAAACCCTCCAGGTGCAAAGAAAGCCCGAGTCAGCCAAGAAATGCTAGGAAGAGGTAACATACAAAGGTTCACAGCAGCCCTGTGAGAATCACATGAGCCAGTAGGGCCACCTCACCAGCTGAACAGGCAGCTGAAACCTGAGGAGTGTCTCCATTCTCTAAGTTTGCCCTTTACTTCTAGAGCCCAAAGACTTAAAATCGAGGAAGGAGGACATGTTGCTCTTTCAGACTGGGCCCAGCTGGTCCTTTCTGAGTATACTCATCTTTCCAAAACTCTTGCACATCTTTCTGTTGCTTGTTAGCACTACTGTTAAGTGATCCACTATGCCTATCCTTATCAGTCTCCCCCTGTTTAGGGATCTACCACAAAATAAAACTCTGCTGTTAGTTTTCTCAACTGGAAAATGAAGATAATTGTAACTACAGAATTAAGATGATTAAATAAGCTAATATTCATAAAGTGTTGAGAACATGAAACATGTCCCAGTGTTTGGAACAGGAAAGTATAACAATTTATTAAATAAAACAAAAATAGACCATCTTTCAATACATATATCCACCTTCAAATAACAATAAGCACTTTACAATAGCAAAAGAGACTTCAAACAGAAAAGAACCGCAAATATATTAACTTCATCACTGTATCATCAGTCCAGTAGAGTTATCAAGGGTTGACAAAGATTTCCTAAGGCAGCAGGCTTTATCTAAAACTTCTGTATTTAGTCAATTCTGGTCCTGAAACACTAATTATTAAGGAAGAAATCTATCTGTTTATCTGCTGAAACCACATCTTACAAAATGGAAGTGTAAGAGTCTCCTTCACTATAGGACATCCTGTATCCCACTATTGGGCAATTGCTGTCATTTCCATTCTTTAAGTATTACTTAGAAAACATTATTTAAAATGTTCCACTGTATATTCTAAAAAAAAAAAAAAAGGATAGATTTAAGATGCATATTTTAAAAGCAGGATAGCCTTTAAAGTTGAATGTTAGTGAGAAACAAACTTATTTTCATTTGAGGTGGAGGCTATAATGAAATGAAAACGGCAGCTGTAAAGAGAACAGAAAATGAAAAAAGCTAGGACAATATTGAAGGAGAGATCATGATAAGAAAATAAGGTTATCTTCATGACAATGGGACTATTTATCATGCTTGTAATATATGGATAAGTAAATGACATAATGACATCAAATCTTATTATAAACAGAGAACAGAATGTATGAATATGGACCTATTTGGGAAATATAAAATTACCCAATGAAAATGAAAACTCTGGTTTAAACTTTAATTTATCTATTTAAAAATTATTTTTAAGGTAAAAATGTCCCAAAAACATGTCTGAAGTTTCAAAGATAAGTTACCAGAAACTGGCAATTATATGTTTTTATTTTTATATAAAAATTTAACAAAGAATTTAGCTACTTTCCCCTGTTTATTAGAAATATCAATTTAAAAATTTATTAGACAGCTAACCATATTAAAAATTGTTTCCATAGACTGATTTCAAAAATTAAAGACTCAGAAATTTTTAAACATTTTAGCAGATGTTCTCTAGGTGATAGTAATAAACTGGTAAGATTTTTAAAATAAATATATTTGACTTAAAAAATATTTTGTTTATAACAAAATAAAATTCCACTCATAGCAATTCAAGAAATATAATTGAGAGTTTTTATTTGAAAATAGATAATTGAATCCTTATTTAATAAAAAGTATTAGCACTGATAGTTTTAATCTACACAAATACAACAAAAGATTTCCAAAAGTTTACGATAAAAAAATACGTAGTTTTGAAGTGTTAAGCTTGTCTAAATTTTAGCACTGCAACTTAAAGAGTTCTAACTGCTGCAGGAAGAAAACTACGCTTCATTTAAGCAAGAAATTTCTATTACTTCTATATTAAGAAGCCACACCCCGTACAACTAATGACAGGAAAGCATTTTAATTCAAACCTCTAACATTATGCAGCCTGAAGCACAGTTAAAAAAAAAAGGCACAAAAATACAAGCACAACTCACATTTTCAGAGAAGAAAGGAAACTCTTGCTAAATAACTAGCAATTATGCTGAAGAATTTATATGCTAAGCACGAATGAATGTAAAAACACCAGAGCAGTCAACCATAGCTTTAGCACTTTGAGTATGATTAACAGAATGAAATTTCAAAGGTCAATTAAATGTCAACACACTTTAAAGGGATATTCTTAAGTCTGGTCAATGTATAACAGCACCTCATAATTCAGGAGTATCCTTAGTTTAAGTGTAATATGTATGGTCTACATGTACATATATATACAGATTCATATCATGTCTCCAATTATTACAGAAAGTCATCTAGCATCTACCCTAGACTTTTGACTATGTTGATGTTTTCTAGGTTATGAAATGATTAAAAAGAAAACATAACTATATTCTTCTATAGCACTAATGAAGAAGAAATTCAAAGTAAATTATAAATACTTAAGACTAAGGTTTATCCTGTAGTTGATCCTATGTACTATACCATAGGAAGGCATTCCCAAGAATAATGCTTTATTGTCCATAATATGCATCATCCAGATACCTAACACATGCCCCACTAACCTTCCCTGAATTCTTGTGGTTCAAGAGCTTGCCAGAGAAGGTACACAGCATTTAAAAATTGCCAAATTTAGCGTTAGATATCTTTGCGATAGAGTAAGTCCTGAAGGCACTGAGTGCCCATTACTGATATTTCCATCCAAGAACTCAATAAAAGTCTCAATTCATCTCACATAAGCAAGGTCAAATTGTCCTAGAACCTCAGAATGAGAAGTGACTGTCAAGATTATAGGGCCCAATCTTCTCAATCAACAGATCAGGAAACAGATCCAGACAGAGCACCTGGCTTGGCTCACATAGCTCCTTAGTAGAAGTCTCAAGCCTCAGTGCTTTCTTCTCTGTTATCAAATCCATCACATATTGTTTTCTCCACTAAGAGTTTAAGTCCAGGTTATAACTGTGACCAAATAACTGTGGCTAGCATCAGAATTCAGAGGAAGGTGAGATCTTTAAATTAATGATCTAAGAATCCAACTCCTTCTTGGAGGCAATTGAAGAATGAGTAGAATCTGGGAGACTGGAAAGGAGGTATCACTAATGAGGGAAGCAATACAGACTATTGCTGTCTGCCACGCATGCTGTCTGCCACGTTCCTGGAACTAGGCACAGATAGTGTTCAGAGTAGAATGGGACCCTGGTTATAAGGTTACCTGAAAGGGGGCAGAAGAAGTTAAATTTTACAGGGGAATAAATAGAGAGCAATTAAAGGATTTTTATTTTAGAAAACTGACTAGCCTAGCAATAGGTGTGTAAGAGAGAATGGAAGTGAAGAGAGAAAAAGATTTGGGGTGTTTTATAGGAGTCTACCTAATAATAATAATAATACTTTACAGGGCTATTGTAAGGAACAAATGAGCTAATATGAGAGAAAGTATGTGACAAGTATAAATAACTCTAGAAAATAAAGATTGTGTTAAAAGTCTGGTGGTTGGGGCCTCTTTGACCATGTTTCCATGTCTTGGTGGCATGTATTTCTCTAAAAAAGCAAATTTGGAGTTGAACTCTGGATCTATTTGTATAGGATCACAGATAGAAATCTCTACCCCTCAATGATTCCAAAATCAAGATTCCCCAGGGAGAGACCGTTACCATCCTTAAGTCCCTTCAAAGTTGAGGATCAGTGATACTAAAATTCAAAAACAGGAGTACAACTTTGAGGCAGACCACATAGTCAGTGTGTCTCTAAGTGAGTCAAGAAAGTATATAATTAAGTGCTAAATAAGGTAGTACAAGAAAGGAGGAGGATAGCAGAGACAGCACCTGAGCCAGGGAAGAATGTGATGAAACCCAAGTGAGTGCTACAGTCAGTATCCTTCTCCTATCCCTTTTCTCTTTGCTCAACGATTACTACTTACTAATGAGAACTTCCATAGTGTCCAGAGCTACTTATCTCTTCCTATGTTGTCTTCCTCTCTCTTCCTTCTTCTACAACAACTCACCAGGGCTAAAAAAGAAATTTGAAAAAGTTACTACAATAAACTAAAAGCCATATATATCAAATATATACCATGTGAGTTATTAGCTGATGGTGTTTTAATTGGTAATCTCACATAATTTTCAAAACAAGTACCAAGTGCCAGAACAAGTACCAAAACAAGAGGCAGGTACCATTATTCACATTTTCCAAATAAGAAAACTGAAGCTTAGGTCAAGGATACAGCTCAAGGCCACCCAGGCAGTAAATTGCAAAGCTAGGACTAGAATCAGGTCTGCTGACTCCTCAGCCTATGCTTTGAACCTCTCTCCTAAACTCTTCCCTTTTTGTCCCCCCAATAAGCATGAAAATTCTCACTTACATGTTGGAGATTTTATGGATATAGACATTATGAGGAATTATATGAGTTTGTAGATGAAAGTTTTGATAACACAGGCTAGGAATGCCTGGGTTTAACCATACACTTGTCTGCCAAGTTATCTTCTTTAGAACTGAAGTCTTCAAATGTGAGAGCCAAAAGATATTGAGGGGGAAATTCTCTACCCAGCATTCTTGTTCTGTTCTCTCTCAGGCTTTCAGTCCCTTAGGGTCCATTCCCAATCCTTTGCTTATCCTCCTAGTTGAAGAGAGGGAAGAGGCTGGGAATGGCACTCCCACAAATCACCAACAGGCTGGTGAGGATGGTAGGTGTATCCCACTAGTAGGAGAGGTCCGTAAACTGTGGTGTCTTGGGCCTTGTGTACCTAAATAGCTTAATTCTGCTTGTAGGAGGTATACCATATATTGATTTACCTGTAGAGACATTTCATGAGGGGGTTCCTAGCCACAGGGCCTAATAAAGAAATTATACTAACATGTCTGGTGCTGTAGGGGAAGTGATCAGAGCAGTGAGCATCTGGGAGTTTTTTTTAATGTTCCTAGAAGAAAGCAACACTGGCCATTACAACATCGGCAAGAAAACTCTAACTAACACTAATTCTTAAAATTTAGTGTGACTCTCACTTTGGAAGGAGCCTGTTGAAACACAGATTCTAGATTCTGCTAATAGAAATTCTGATTCTGTAAGTGTGGGAGGTGCCCAGGAGTTTGAAGTTTTCCAAGTGACTCTGATATAGGTGGTCTAAGGACCACACCTTGAGACACACTGCTCTAACCTCTTACAAAGCTGCCCCACTAACAAATTTGCACAGAGAAGAACACATATTCCACAAAAACAGCTTGTTCAAATACCAATGGTAGGTTTTAGGTTAAGTAGTCATTTTTTAATAAGGCTACTAGGCTTTCCAGAAGTTGCCAGGCTTACAAATGTTGAGGCCTTAGTATTTTCCTGATGTCACCAAATAGCTATTACACAGGGCTCTCAGGAATAACATCATATCTCACCGCAGTCTACATTAGACCTCTTGTACACCCAGTGATTGTCTAGAGTGAAGACCTTTTAGCAAGACGCTATTTCCAGTGCTTAATTTACATTTGGTTTAAGATCGATTATAATTTTTCTCATTGCAAATTTAGTTGATTTCAAAAAGTATACTTTCCTTCATGCAACTGAATTGAAAGGTTTTTATTTCATGCTATTTTAAAAAATGAGTTTAAAAATCAGACATCACTCAAGTGAAATATTATAGTTATGATTAGGCCATTTAATTAGATATCCAATCACAATGCAAACAGCTACTATTTATTTAAGAAATACACCTTTTCAAAGGTTTCTGTTCTTCAAACAAAAATAGGTCATAAAATGTATTATGTTAAATCAATATTGCTATCTTTCTCCTAGAAACCCTATCACTTGCCTTTGTCTCTTTCCAAATGCGTGTCCCTATTTTAAAGTATAAACTTTCAGGCTAGATACTGGAACTAAGCTGTTTTTCTGCCAGTTCTTTCTTTGATACCTTCTTTCTTTCCACTAAAGCATAATCATAATTCTCTTTGGGCTGGACATGATGGATTTTTAATTATTTCTGGTACTTTATTCAGCATTTTTTAGTATCTATATTCATGTACATATATATATATATTTATATATTTTAAATCAACTTGTGTTGCAATAAGCTCCATGAGAAGAGAAAATGCCCAGTGGAACACCTGACATCTAGAAGGCACTTTCATGAAATGGTGAGAAAACTGGAGGGCTCTGTCATTTACAAGATGGCATAATTAATAATTTCTCATGTATATACTACTGACAAAATATGCATGCAATATTTAAGAGAATTTTGGTTATAAAAAATGTTTGATGTTACTTTTTCAAAATGCAGGTTATCATGATAACCAAAAGTTAACACTCCATTGTTTTGCAATACAACTTATGATGACAATATTTCAATACCATTGTCAGACTAAACCTTTAACATTAATTATTTATAAAAATTATACTTGCCACTAACACATCCTAACAAAGCAGATTATGTAAGTGAGCTGTCTTGGCGTCAGTGATACTGAACACAGTAGCTATTTTCAATCCTTCATTAAAATTAGATCAAGATGTACTTGAATTATGTGTTACTGTTCCTGTGAGGAAGATTTACATTAGTTTAAGATTTACTTTGGTTGTGACATTTTCTTTTCCTTCTTTGTCATGAGAGTCTCTTCCTCCACTCCCTCACCCAAAAAAAGTTTTCAGTAGAAAAAAGCAATACAGAAAACAAAAACACAAACACCAGTTCACCCTCTCCTATGCATACTAAATGCCTCGTTCTCCCCCTAAACTGGGTTTGGAAGGGACTGTTGGGGACACCTGCCATTTGACCCCCAGGCTTGGCTCTCTGTGACCCCCTGGCCCCTAAGACTCCAAATGGTGGAGCAAAGTAGCCGAGTCTTAAGATTAGTAAAATAGGCAATACGTAATTCATTTCTTACTGATGAAAACCTTTAAACATTCATGTTTTAAACCACCAGACTTAAAAGTTACTCCTGAGTAGTATGAAAGGTGTATCCAGGCGCATGTAAACATATCCTGGCCTACAGCTTCCTAACTCCCGCACCACGCTAAGGCCCAACAAAAATCTCTAATGGAGATGTATTTTAAAAACTAGAAGACATCATAGATCCCGTAGAAGTAGCCCCATATATCGCTCACCAGGCGATCTAAGTAGTTAAGTCACTCGTCCAAGGTCAAGCTGAGCCAGCTATGGGCAGAGCTGGTCCGCGACCTTCTAACCTTTCCACCTCCCTAACCCCCTTGAACAGGCTCCCAGCAGCACGGGCCCCATAAGGTTCCCACGGATACGGTTCACAAGTCAGTAGCACGCTAATGCCTTTCAAGCGACTGCACTTTTTATCTGTTCTCCCTGCCAGCTCCAAAAAGTATTAAAGGCGCGCTCTCTGCACGCCTGCTCCCCAAGCCCAGGTGCCCCAAACCTCCCGAGCCCACCGCGCCCAAAGCAGACTCACCCGCAGCACCGGGTGCCGGAGCCCTCGGACAGACTCCGGCCCTCCTCGCAGTCACAGCCGGCCGCGCTGCGGCCCCAGCTGACGACGAGTCGAGAAAGTCACCCGCGGTGACCGCGGACGCGAGGGGCGGGCCAAGCCGTGCCGCCCCGCTGAGGCGCCGCAAACTTTTCCCGGCTCGCGAGTTGCCGGGCTCGGCGGCCGCGGACAGACTTCCTTCTCCGGCCGCCGGAGCGAGGGGGCGCCCCTGCCCCGGGAGGAGGGGGCTGGGCGAGCCGGGAGACGGTCAAGTTGGGGTCGGGGGAGCGCAGGCGCCCCGCACTCCGAGACGCGCGGGGCCGAGCCGGCCGCATTGTCTCCACGGCCTCGGACCCAGCCGGAGCGGAGTTGCAGCACCGAATCTGCCACCGCTTTTCGCCGCCGCCGCCCACCGTGTTCTTTGTGTGCCTCTCGCAGCCCTCGAGCCGCTCCGCAGCTCGCCTGACAGCTGATGGGCTCACCACACGCCGGTCCCGCGTCCTCTCGGCCGCCGCCAGCGGAGCCCGGCCCGGCCAGGGGAGGAGGGGACAAGAGGAGCGTTGACAGATGCCGTCTCGGAGCGGCCACCGCTGGGGGGAAACCGGGACTGCCTCCGGTGGCCGCTGCCGGCAACCAGCCCCGGCCCCGCACTCGCCCCCTCAGACCCCGTGGGCGAGGAGACCCTGCCTCCGCGGCCGCCCGCGCAGGTCCGGTCCCGCGCCCAGTGCCCGGCTCCGCGGACAAGCGCGCCCGGTCAAGAATCCAGGGGAACCCGCTCCGCCCCCTGGCTCCAGCGCTGTCCAATGAGCTCGGCCTAAAGAGGGCAGTTCCGCCCAATCAAGTGTCGGAAAGCCCGGCCTGTCCCCGACGGTGTAGCCAATAGAACGCGCCTCCGGCAACACACCCGCCCTGATCCCCTAAGAACAAACCACAAGGAGCCCGGCGGTGGGACCCTGATCCGGGCGCCCAGATCGAGTTCAGTCTGGCCTCCGCTGTGTCGCAAACTCTGTGGAGGGAGGTCCGGTGTTTAAATGAGTATAAGGAGTTGACGAAAATGGGAACGATGGACACACTACTTTTGTAGGTCATCTGAATCTCTACCCTCGATTAAAACGCCTTTTTTCTGGCCGAAGTTTGTATATGGAAGAAAGCCGAACAATCACCTTGTAGCGCTATTAACTATTTAATTTAAGGCCTTTCCTTTTAGACCATTGCTTTAAAGTGCCTGTCAGGCGGCGCTCAGGTTAGTGCATTCACAGTCCCGAGCATTTATTTGTATTCTGAATAAATTTGCCAGAACATCAAGTATCTGAAGCAGGTTATTTTCTGTACTGCTCTGAAACGCAGACTGTCACTGGCACTGTCTTGTCCTGCCTCCCCCGCCCCCCAAGAATGAAAATACAAGAATTCTTTATGTAAATCATCTTTACTGCGAATTTTATTTCTATAATAAAGTCACACGACCTATCTTCTGTATCTATCTTTTAATCACAGTACTTTGAACTCCTGGCCTCGAGCCTTGGCCTCCCAAAGTGCTGGGATTACAGGCATGAACGCCTGGCCAGTACCTTGCAAACAATAGGCACGCTATAGTTGTTTCTTTGATTTAAATAAGATTACTCATTTGTTATTGTTCAAATGAACTTTATTGAATTCTTTACTGAAAGTGGACTACATCATGATGAAAATAGTGTTTGGTGACACGTGTTTTAAAATAAGATTATACTTACTTGTACTTTAAATAGTTGTCATGCTCAGTTTATTTCTCCTGGTAGTAAACTTTGCATTTAAAAATTTTTGTACACATGTTACATGTCTCTTCTGCATAAATTATTTTGATAAATTTATTTTTTAAAGGATAATCTGGATCACTGGATCATTGGCTAATCCAATGAACCGAATGGAGTGACAGAGGGAGAGAGGAAGGGAGGAGATATCAGACAAGAAAAAAAGGACTATATTACCACCTTGCTTTCGTGATTGAAACTCACCAGGCCTTATCACGTTAGTTTCGGGGTATAACATGAGCCCTAAAACTAACTTTTATCAAAAGATCCAGGTTCTGGATTGACCTCGAGCAAATCTCTTAGTAACTAACTCTGCTATACTAGGATAATATGCCCCCTTCTGCCTGCCTTACGCCGTGCTGTGAGATCCAACCAAGACGTTGTTCCAAGTGTAAAGCAGTCATAATGTGTTATTATTATTGTCTGCTTTTCTACATGCAAGTATCTTGATACTTGCCCACTTGCAGCTTGTTAATCTTTCCTTTGCGTGGTTTTTCAATCTGAAATTTTTTTTTGATCCTATCAGTTTTCCCTCAAAATGGATCTGAATAAACTCCTGTCTCCTAATTCTATAGCAAAGCAGTACTTTCAGGGTTTCTTTCCTTTTTTCTCTTTTTTAATAGAGAGGGTGTTAGGAGAGAAGATAAGAATACTTAAGAAAGAATTCTGGATAGGAAAAGTTTGAGAACTTTTGTTCACTACTGATTACTCTTAATATATTCCTCAAAAAACAAGAAGTATCATGATGTCCAATTTAATATTCTTGTGTTCATAATGGTTAAAAACATATGTTTTAATGTATATATATAAAAAATTAATGTATCCTATGTCTGCAAATGTGCACAGTTTTAACTGGAAATTAATGGCTGGGTCAACTTTATACCCATATAATCAAGTACTGAATTAAAAATTTTATAGGCATTTATTAAAGATTCACTTATGGATTTTATGCTTAATTTTCAAAGAGGAAAGTAAATGTGTATTTTTAGACATATTTCCATGTTTCATAATGTAATTTGTTTACTTTGTTCCAAAATATGCCTAGTACAGAAGTTTAATTATTTCTTCAAACAAATGTACATATGGTAACACTAAAATGTGAAATTTGCTGAATTTAATTGAACCAGCAGTTGTTATTTTCAACTAATTAACTCTACATATTTCATTTTTGAGTGAAAATTGTGGAAAAATGGATCAACATGAATGCAATATATGTGACTTATTCAGTATATTTAAGTCAAAACCAGCATTTGTTATAATTTCTTGATAATCAACAAGACCATAGCCATTTATTATAAGGAATTAATATTTTATCAATTGTCTGGTTAACATTTATGACTCCACTATGGTGATGTTTCATTTCTGAGTGATGTTTTCATTTTTTCATCAGTGATTTCGTCATCAGTTGTCCTGAATGAGAAACAGAAGAGTTGTAGTTGTTGGAAAGCTATCAGTTTTAACACATTTTTAAATGTTTGCTAGAGAAACTGTGACTTTGGGGTTAGTTTTAGCATTTGTAAAGGCAATTTTTAAAAAAATACATAGACATATGGTCTTTTATAAGTTGCTTCAAATGATCTGTGTTAATATGACTAAGCACAATATTATTTTCTCTGTATTTTTACGTTTAAGAAACTATCATCTTAAGATTGCTTCATCAATGAGTATGACAAGTAACTGGATTTATATCTTCTGGATTCTAATAGTTGAAATGCCTCTGAATTTCTGTGTCTTGGACAAATAAGACTTCCACATGACTTCTCTCCAATTCACTGAATCCAATTCATATGAAAATGATGTTATTGGGAATAATGAAATAATCTCTATATAGAGGGAATAGAAAAATAATTAGCTCTATTTTTCTTTATATTTCTGACATGCATGAGGGAAAAAATGCTTTTGTGAACCACAACATCATACCCCTTTAACTCTCTTTTTTTTTACAAAACTTGTATTTTTCTGATTTCTTGAACCCAACCATGCAGTTTCTTCATCATGTGATATATTTATGGCTAGAATCTTTTATATGCTTACAGAGTAACAGAGAAAATTTCAGAAAACAATGGTTATGGACACACTAGAGATCCTTTCCTATTTTATCTTGGGCCACAATCCCTCAGGAAAAATTCTCTTAGAGTTAAGCATTAGAAAAAATTGTATTTTTTTAATTAAATATTTGTAAATTATTTTTATTTTAACTATCAGAAAGCTCAGAACTAAATTTACAGCTCAATTTAGCAAGGTATTATGGCTTGCTCCACTATAATTTTTTAATAAATATAATTTTTACCTTGCCTTGGTTTACTTTTCATTTATACATTATTAGCTTATAATTGTATGTGTTCATTTCATGTAAGCTATCTAAAATGCTTTTAGAAATTAGATAAAATATAAATGAACAAATGGCATGTTTTAAGTATGAAGAGCTGAACATAATCAGAAAGTGTAGTGAGGACAATATGAAGGCTATTGCTGTGGTTTTTCTTCACAGAGGAATAGGAATCTGATTCAGCAGGTATTTGAGAGCAGGTAGCTCTCAAAACCTTTGTCAGAGAGGTAGAAAAAAATATAGGTATTAGACTGGGAAAATGTATTACATTATTTTTTAAAGTTCAAGTTATTTTAAAAGACTTCTCCTGACTGAGATATTGTCTTAACATTGTTGCAGAACTTTATTTTGTTGTTTTTAATCTTATGTGGTATATTTTAATTAACTAGAACTTATAGGTTAAAAATATCCATTTAAAATAGAGTAGTTTACACAAAGTAGGTGGTAGCATCTCTTTTCCAGGCCAGAAGTCAGCATGTAGGAGATTCTCAGTGGAGTTAGGAGGGTTTAAGTTATAAGTGGTAGAAAACTCAGCTCAACCTCACTTAAACGCAAAAGCAAATATAGTAGCTCACATAATTTAAATTGTACAACCTTGGTAAAGTAAGAGTAAAGGTATAGCTAGCTGAGAGGAGGTGGGATGGAAGAATGAAAAAAGGGAGCAAAAGCAGAGGGATGGGTGGAGGCATGATGCCACATAGAGGGGTGTCAGAAAAATGTATTGGACAAAATTTAGTTTGATCCAACTTTATTGGATAAAACTTATTGGACAAGAAAGAGAAATGTAGGTAGATATTTCTAACTTACAACAACAAAACTGAAAATAATGCAATAAGTACCAAAATTAGAGTAGTATTGAAAGAAGGACTAAACTAAGGCCTTATTTCACATAGCTCATTTTATATAGCTGAGAGTAAAGCAGATAAATAAATAATAAATACATCACAGATATAGAAATATATTAGTTATTTCATTATTTAAATTCTATACTTTTTTCAAACAAGTTCATTGTTTAGTTTTCTACAAGAAGAATCTAGAAGCAGAAATGATTAAAATACTTTACCTTTTAGGAGGGCTGTTACAATCGGGTATGAGGAGGGTTGTGGTCTGATTTCATTTTCTGTAACTGAATATAAATATTTTTTGATGAAAATTATCAATATTACAGAAAAATTCTTAGCATGAATTTATTAAAAAATAAATGTAGGGTATCAATATATATTAGGAAACCATAATTGTATAGTCTTTAACATAGGATAAAACGGTGTTTAAGTCCCAAGTGTGAATATATGTGATGGCTTTAAGAAAGCAAATATAATGGATATATAGTAAAATTATTTTATGTTTTTCACAATCAATTTATAATATAGTACTAATAGATTATCTTTTTTTGTGCTTGAGAACAATTGTGCCTTTGGATCCTACAGATTTTAGGGCAGATTGGGTATCATGAGAATGCTTGTTAAATGCCTGTTTGTTTTTTGATGAGGTAATTGTATCATTTGAAACTGTTTGACTCAGCACACAGGAAAACTCTATAGAAAATGTGTTCAATTGTGTGCTTCATAGCTTGAGAAATGAATGAAAATTATGGAGAAGACTCCGTGGAAAGTTACAAAAGGAATTAGAAATCTGGAACATAGCTGATCTTAAGGAATTAACATTTTTGAGCTTGTGAGGCTCCCAATTTTCAGATATAATTCATTGCTAATTTTCTGTGCAAGTGGAGGAGAATAGTGGGCCCACTGTGAAATGCTGGGGGCGAGGGGGTGTCTATTAGAATTGGTTCATCTTGGGTAAAAGGGAAATCAACATCAACCTGCTGGACTTGGAGAATACATTGTAAGTATTCATAGACAAAGAAAAATATCATTACCAGAAACCATAGAGGAAGAAAAGGAGTGTGTGTGTGTGTGTGTGTGTGTGTGTGTGTGTGTGTGTGTCTGTGTAAGAGACTAGGCTAAATAAATGTGTGGATCACTACCAATTGATTAACAAATAAGATGGATCTAAAAAGCAAGTCCAGAGTAATTAAAGAAGCATGATAGAACTGAAAAATTACTGTAAGATATAATGCTTAATCCTAATTTGGAGACGATGTTTGTGGAAACTATCTGAACCCTAAACCAATGCATTCTCATGTAGATGGCATCTTTCCAAGGTTTACTGTAAATAAATACAGCGATGATAAGCATTTTTTTCATTTATATATGTTTTTATTTGGAAAGCACCTTCACATATGTAAAGTCATTAAATCCTCATAACTTTTTCTTGAGATGATGAAGCAACTTGGGGTAGTATTTCAATTCACAGACACGTTTGAGCTTCACTACTTCAACATCACACCACGAATTCCTCTGGGCGTTTAAATGAGGATGATAATAATTACAGATGTTATAACCATCTCTTGCTGTCTTGTTATGAGAATGGAAGCAGCTAATTTGTGTGAACATGATTTGCTTGTGACCTTACGTGGGTCACCAATGTCCTTATTAGTGTAAATTCTATTTTCTTTTTATAGATAATGGGAAAGTCTATGCAGTGATCAAGAGATAATTAACCGGTTAGATAAGGTGGGTCTGTGGCCCCAGGTCCCCAGGTCTCCTCATTACTCTCAGTGCTCCTCCCAGTACTTTGATGCAGGCTTTAAATTGTAGCCAATAAATACAAAAGTGGAATAGTCTGGTCGTTTCCTCAATTTCTTTTTTGGATTGAAGAGTTAGACTAGTTGAGTACCAGGGTTCTTCTGGTTGTAAATCCTACAATCATCAGGCACTTGGTACTCCAACTTTCTCAGGTGAGTCGGAGACAGAATGAAATAGTTCATGAAGATTTCCTGCATGTGAGGATAGAAGAGATGTTGAGAGAGGATTTCTATTAGTAAGATTCAAGGGCAAATTTTAGTTAAAATATTGTAAACACATAAACAGACTTGTCTATGTTTTGTTGTTTTTGTTAATGTTGTTATTTGTTTTGTTTCAATGGATTCATGTGGAAAGTGAAGGAAAATAAGAGGTAACCATAAAAATGTAAGCCATACCCCCTTCCTTCCTCTAGAATTCTTACAAAAATTGG